CCCTAATCCGCTGCCCCCCAACCCTTTGCCCCCCAGGACCTCAAGGGCCAGTACTGGACGGACGATGAGTCCGATGGGGACAATGAGTCCGAGGAGTTCCTCTATGGCGTCCAGGTAAGCACCGTAGGTGCTGGGTCCCATGGGTGCCGGGTCCCATGGGTGCCATGGGGGGACTCAGGGCCCCCCAACCTGCACCCAGTCCCAAGTGCGGGGGCTGCAAGGAGGCTCCAGGTCTGATGGGGTGCTGTGCCGCAGGGGACCTGCGCCGCCGACCTGTACCGTCACCCGCAGTTGGACGCTGATATCGAGGCCGTGAAGGAGATCTACAGTGAGAATGCCGTGGCCATCAGGTGGGTGCACCCACCAGCCCCCACACCCAGCCGTGCCATCCTCAGGCATCCAGCTGTGCCATCCCCAAGGCACCTGGCTATGGCATCACCGGGGCACTCATCCGTGGCACCCCTGGAGACTCGGCTGTGCCATCCCCAGGGCACCCAGACATGGCATTCCCAGGGCAGCCAGCTGTGGCATCCCAGGGCATCTGGCTGTTGGCATCACTGGGGCACCTGGCCATGGCATCTCCAGGCACCCAGCCATGCCACCCCTGGGGCACCTAGCTGTGCCATCCCCAGGGCACCTAACCATGCTATCCCCAGGCACCCGTCCACAGTCCAGGTGTTCTCCCTGTGCCATTCCGGTCTCAGAGGTGCACGTGCTTGATACACAGGGAGCCACATGTGCCCGTTACTGCGCCAGAAGCCTGCCCACCCCAGCAGGGTGGGTACTGGGCAGTGGTTTGGCACCGTGCCAGCCTCACCCCATCTCCCCATCACGGTGCCGCATGTCTTTGCAGGGAGTATGGGACCATTGACGACGTGGACATCGACCTCCACGTGAACATCAGCTTCCTCGATGTGAGTCCCCGGGGTGCCCCCGCCGGCATTGGCACGGGGAGGGGGGGACACATGCCTGGGGGGTCCCCAAATTTCCCTCCCCAGCTGAGGGTCCCCATGGCTGTGCCAAATCGTGGCTCTCCCTTGGCAGGAGGAGGTAGCGACAGCGTGGAAGGTGCTGCGGACGGAGCCCATCGTCCTCCGCCTGCGCTTCTCCCTCTCCCAGTACCTTGATGGCCCCGGTGAGTGGAGACAGGCAGGACAGGGTGTCCCCATGTGCCCTCGGGATGGGGACAGCAGTGGCACCAATGGCTTGTCCTCCTCTCTCTCTCCGCAGAACCGTCCATCGAGGTTTTCCAGCCGTCCAACAAGGAGGGCTTCGGGCTGGGTCTGCAGCTGAAGAAGTAAGAGCCGAAACACAACGGGCACCCAAGGGTGGTGGGTAGGGTGGGCTGTGGGGTAACCATTTTGCCGCAAAACTGGCCAGGTGCCACATGTCCCCATGCTGCCACCTTTTACCTGCCACACAGCCCTGCGATGGGCTCACCACCAGTTTTGGGTAGGGAAGAGGAGGAGCTGGGTGGCATGGACCACCCATGCACCATGCTCAGTGGGCACCAAAGCACCCATGGGTGCTGGCATCCTGCTCGGGCACCCATGCCACCTTTCTGCCAGGATCCTGGGCATGTTCACGTCCCAGCAATGGAAACATCTCAGCAATGATTTCCTGAAGACCCAGCAGGAGAAGCGGCACAGTTGGTTCAAGACAAGTGGCACCATCAAGAAGTTTCGTGCTGGCCTCAGCATCTTCTCCCCCATCCCCAAGTAAGACCCTGACAGTGTCCCCAAGAGACCAACCCTCTGTCCCCTCACCCTGGGTGGCTGGGCACCCTGGCACCATGCCTCAATTTCCCTACTCACCCCTCGGATGCTGCTGCTCCCTACCAGAGCCCAAGGAGGTGAAGGTTGCTCCCAAAAACCAGCTGAAGGGTGAATTCAGTGCTGGGTGATGGAGGAGTAGGGGACGGTGACAAACAGGGGAGCTCAGGGGGATTCTGTGCCTGCAGGTCTCCCAGCTTCCCTGTCATCCAGGATTCAGTACTGAAGGGCAAACTGGGCATCCCTGAGGCTCATGTGAACCGCATCCTGTACGGTGAAGAACCCCAAGGTGGAGGTTTTTGGCTACCCCCCCGCCAGCACCCAGGCAGGTGTCGCCCCCTTCAACATCCTGGTGGGTGCCTCCCCGCCTCGGGGTTTGCTTTCCTCTCCTTTCCCTTCCCAAATTCCCGGGGGCTGCTGTGGGGTCGGATCACTTGTCGTGGGGTGGTGGAACCCCCTTGGGTTGAGGGGGGGAGCCCCTGCAGAGCTCTGTCCCCTGCACCTTGTCCCCAGCACCCTTGGGTGCTGGTGGGCAAGCTGGGACACCAGCCATGGGGTCCTGTGGGGTTTTACCCCCTTCTTGGTGCTACGTCCCTGATGCGGCTGTGTCACCGGGAGGCTGTTGGCATGTCGGGGGTCGCGCTGTGGCGGGGGGATGTTTGGGGCTGCTGGTGCTGCGCTAAGTTGGGGGTGCGTAGGGGAAAGGGGATAACGCAGCTGGCTCCGCTCCGGCTCTGTCGCAGGTCGGCGGCCACTGCAAGAACGTCCCTACGCTGGAGTACGGCTTCCTCGTCCAGGTGAGTGTCCTGCATCCAGATTGTCCCCATCCCGCTGCCTGGAGCATCCTCCCCCCATCCCACGTCCCACTCATCCCACATCCCGCTCAGCCCCATCCCGCTTCCTGGACCATCCTCCCCAGTGCTGTGGCCACCGCAGGGACTGACTCCCACCATCCTCTCTCTCAGATCATGAAGTATGCGGAGCAGCGGATTCCAACACTCAACGAGTACTGCGTGGTGTGCGATGAGCAGCATGTCTTCCAGAACGGCTCCATGCTCAAGGTGTGGGGACAGGGACCAGAAGGTGTGGGCTGCCACCCCGTGTCACAGTCCCTGACCCTCCCCATGGCTCCTGTCCCCTCCGCAGCCAGCGGTGTGCACCCGGGAGCTCTGCGTCTTCTCCTTCTACACCTTGGGCGTCATGTCCGGCGCAGCAGAGGAGGTGGCCACGGGCGCCGAGGTAGGGGTGCGCGCAGTGGGTGACCACACCGTCACCTTGGAGTGCTGTCCCTTCACCCCACACTGTGTCCCCAAGGTGGTGGACCTGCTGGTGGCCATGTGCCGCGCCGCCCTGGAGTCCCCCCGCAAGAGCATCATCTTTGAGCCTTACCCTTCCGTGGTGGACCCCAACGACCCCAAAACACTTGCCTTCAACCCCAAGGTAAGTGCTGAGGGGCAACAGTCCCCCATGCCAGGGGTCAAGGGGGCTGGGGGAGCCCCGAGGACCCCTCCGACAACCATCCCTCTCCTGTCCCATGCATAGAAGAAGAACTACGAGCGGCTGCAGAAGGCCCTGGACAGCGTGATGTCCATCCGGGAGATGACCCAGGTACGCCGGCGTGGCCCTGCAACCACCCATGGCCCCATGGGAGACCCCCCCCGGTGCAGGATCCTTCGCCGGGGGTGGCATTTTGGTGCCGATCTCCCTCCACCCACGGTTGGGTGGGTCCCGGGGGGACCCACCTGCACCCCCTCTTGCCTCTGCCAGGGATCCTACCTGGAGATCAAGAAGCAGATGGACAAGCTGGACCCCCTGGCCCATCCCCTCCTGCAGTGGTGAGGCCAAGGGTGCTGCACCCCCGTCCCGCTGCCCCATGTCCCTCCCTGCTGCCCCACATCCCTCCCTGCTGCCCCATGTCCCCCAGGGCAGAGGATGGGGTGGGGGGCAGCTGGGCATCCCCGGCATGACCCCCTCAGCCCCTTTCTCCTGGGGGGTTGCAACCATCCACCGGCCTCAGAGCGGGGTCTGGCACGGCTCCTGGCTCAGCCCTGCTCCCAGGGGAGCACAGGACCACCCTGTCTGACCTTCCTCCTCCTCCTCCTCTTCCCAAGGATAATTTCCAGCAACAGATCCCACATCGTCAAGCTGCCCCTCAGCAGGGTAAGGGGCCTGACTGGGCCCCAGGTGGGGTGCGGGTGCGGCGTGCGGGATGGAGGGTATGGAACGTGGGATGTGGGATGTGGGGTGTGGGATGGAGGGTACGGGAGGTGGGATGTGAGATATGGGATGTAGGGTGTGGAATGTGGGACGTAGGGTATGGGATGCAGGACACAGAGTATGAGATGTAGGATATGGGAGGTGGGATGCATGATATGGGAGGTGGGATGTAGGATATAGGATGCGGGATGAAGGTTATGGGATTGGGATGTGGGATGCAGAGTGTGGGACATGGGATATGGGATGCAGGACATAGGATATGGAAGATGGGATGTAGGATATGTGATTCAGGACTTAGGGTATGGGATATGGGATGCGGGATGTAGGATACAGGTTGTGGGATGTATGGGATGGGATGTAGGACGTAGGGTATGAGGTGCGGGCTGCAGGATGGAGAATGCCAGATGCAGGATGAGGGATGTAAGGATAGGGGTGGGCGATATAAGGGTCTGGGGATGTAGATGTAGCCTTTGGGATGGGGTCTGCAGCTTGTGAGACGTGGGAGGCAGGATATGGGATATAGGATGGAGGATATTTGACGTGGGCTGTGGGATGAGACAGGGGATGCCACAGGCCCTCCTGGCAAGCTTGGGATGGCCAAAGCAGGGCTGGGATTGGCATGGGGCTGGGCTGCCGTGCATGATCTCTGCCTGTCTGTCTGTCTGTCCTCTCTCCCTGCTGGCGCCGCCTTTGCTCTTCCCTTTCCCCTGGTAGCAGCTGAAGTTCATGCACACCTCCCACCAGTTCCTCCTGCTCAGCAGCCCCCCAGCCAAGGAAGCCCGGTTCCGCACCGCCAAGAAACTCTACGGCAGCACCTTCGCTTTCCAGTGAGTTGCCGAGGGGGTGGCAGGAACCCCCCAAGCGGGCGCCATGGGGCAGGGTGCCATGAAGCTGACATAGGGCTGCCTTTTTCCAGCGGCTCACACATTGAGAACTGGCACTCCATCCTTCGCAATGGGCTGGTCAACGCTTCCTACACCAAACTGCAGGTAACGCTCCCCTGCGCCCGACCCCCGCCCCGGGGCAGGCAGGCAGGCAGGGAGGGATGCGGGCAGCTGGAGCTGTGCTGCCTGCAGAGGCCGGGCTGCCTCCACCACCGTGCCCAAGCTGTCGGGGTGACCCCGCGTCGCTCACCCTGCTGTTTTCCTGCAAGCTGCATGGAGCAGCCTATGGCAAGGGCATCTATCTGAGCCCCATCTCCAGTATTTCCTTTGGATACTCAGGTAAGAGGCTGCCTGCACTGCCCAGTCCTGCCTGCGCTCCCATTCCCACTCCCTGCATGGGCCCGGGGATGTTCGGCATCGTGCCGGCTGGCTGGAGGAGCCGCGTGGGAGTGGGCAGCACCAGATCCTTCCCACCTGCACCGGCCTCTTCCCAGCCAGGTTGGGGCTTTCCGATGCGCTGGGGAATTAAAAATCCAACATTTTCTAGGCTCTGAAAGCCACTGTCCCCACTTTTGGGGGGTTCCCAGGGTTCGGCTGCAGGGTGGGAGCACCCAGCGTGGCCGTCCCTGTCTGTGGCACGTGTCCCTGCATCACCCCAGGGGTGCTTCCTGCCCAGGAGTGACCTCCGCCACCTCACTTCTCTGCAGGGATGGGAAAAGGGCAGCACCGGATGCCTTCGAAGGATGAGCTGGTGCAGAGGTACAACCGGATGAACACCATCCCCCAGGTGATGGGCCAGGGGCCACCGTGGGAGGATGGGGATGGGGACATGACAGCCACGGGTGCTGGGGATGGGGTGAGCCGAGCCCAGCCGGGGCAGTAACGCTGGTTGCTCTCCCCGCAGACCCGCTCCATCCAGTCCCGCTTTCTCCAGAGCCGCAACCTGAACTGCATCGCGCTTTGCGAAGGTGCGGGGACATGTGGGCGGGGGGGGACAGAGAGGGGTGGCCGGGCAGCACCCACGTCCCTGGCTCACCTGGTGGGTGGAGGAGGTAAGGGAGCGAGGGTCCCCACCACGGGCCGTGCCCGGCAGGGACCTCCATCCCCTGTCTGACAGCCCCTTCCCCCGGCAGTCATCACCTCCAAGGACCTGCAGAAACACGGCAACATCTGGGTCTGCCCCGTCTCGGACCACGTCTGCACCCGCTTCTTCTTTGTGTGAGTCCCGGTTGCGCCCACCTCCCCAGCACCCACAGGACACCCACGGGACGCCCCCTTACCCCCTCTTTTCCCCTTCCAGGTATGAAGACGGCCAAGTGGGAGACGCCAATATCAATACTCAGGACCCCAAAATCCAGAAGGAGATCATGCGTGTGATCGGGACTCAGGTGTACACAAACTGAGTGGCAGCGGGGACCCCCCGGGACCCTCCCCGGGCGCCGAGCAAAGACCCTGGGTGAGACCGGGGAAGGAGGAGCGGGTTTCAAGCCTCCCAGGCAGGGCAGAGATGGGGGCCGACGCCAGCGGCTCCACCCTGTACATAGGCGTCAAGCATCCAGTGAGCACCAGGCGGGTTTAGCGGTCCCTTGTCCCCTCCCCATCCTGTCCCTCAGTGTCCCCAACCCTGTGGCAGCATGGAGAAGGAGCTGCGGGGGCTAGCGTGGCCGGTGGCTGCCCCTCCTGGCGTTGGCAGTGATGGCATTTTTATTGATGATGAGAAACCGAAGCAAAAAAAACCCAACAAAACCAAAACAAACCCAAAAAACACAGGAAAAAAAAAAGGAATCTGTGTTGGTGTAGTTAAAGTATTTAAACGGCCTGGGGGTGTGGCGAGGGGATGGGATGGTGAGGAAGGGACAGGAACGCAGGGAAGGGAGGGAAGCGTGGGGAAGGGATTGGGGCCACAGGGAAAGGGTCATAGGGAATTGATGGGGCTTTAGGAAAGGGCTGGGGCCGTGGGGAGGGAATCACACCACCGTCACATCGTGGCAAAGGGCTCGTGCTGTGGAGCAGGGACCACACCACAGAGAAGGGATTGTGCCTCAGGGATGGGACCACAGTGGGGATGCGGGAGCAGAGCGAGGGGATGTGACCCCACAAGGACTGGTGCCGCGGCAGAGGCTCGCATGCAAAAGCAGAAGGAAACCTCCCAGGGACCGTGCTTTATTTCAGCCCAAGCCAATCCCAAAAACTACACGGATGCAGAGTTGGCGCTGGCACAGCTGCATCCCGCTATGCTGGACCCTGAATGAAAACCCATCAGCGAAGCCCCGGAGGCTGCTGGGCTCAGCACAGGGACCCTGGGAGGTGGCGGGGGGCTGGCAGGGGTGGCTGGGTGCCGAGGTTCCCCCAGGTCCTGGGGCTCTCCAGGTCGGTCCCAGCAGCACAGGGCCGTGGCAGTAAAATACGAGCCCACACAAGACAGCAGCTGCTGCAGCATCAGCCAGAAGCCGCCCGGGGACAGCGGCCGGTCCCACAGGAACGTGGGGGTCCCTTGCCAGGGACTCAAGGGTCCAAGGAATTTAAAATAATTCAACCAGGATTTATAAAGAAAGTTAAGAATTGACTTAAGAAATATCCTGGTTTAGGTATAGTCACTGGCTGAGGCCCGACAGGCTCATCACACCGGTGGGAGCACTCTCGATGCCACCACTGTAGCGTCCCCTGCCCTCAGGGGGGTGACAGAGGGTCCCCGATGTCTGTCCACCACCGCTCATCCTGCACCGGCTGCTCGATGTCCCCAAGGCCACCCAAACCTGGGCGGGAGATGCTGGCTGGGTGGCTGTCCCCACACCACCAGCCACCCCATTTTTTTTGCTTAAATTTTGGGGTTTTGGGTTCCCCCCCCCTTAAATAACAAACAAATCAAGCCACTTTCCCACGATCACCGAAGGCGCTCCTCTGCAGGTGCAGCCATGAAGGGACGTCCCTGGGGACATGCTAACGTCCTCCAGAAGCTCTCCCATTGCTCAGAAACAACAGCGAAACCACAGGGGCCGGGTCCTGCCCCGGTCCCCTCTGCAGCCGGGGTGAATTCCTCTGGAAGATGGTAATTCCTGAGAAAAAAGTAAATTACAGAAGAGGCCTATGCTCTTCTCCTGGCTTCACCAAATTCCTGGCAGGTGCTTTGGCCCAGCCAGAGTCGAGCTGGTCAAAAAGGGGTGCCCAGCGTCGTCTTCCTGGGGGAATTTGGGTGGTGGGACATGGCAGTGATTGCTCCAAAGAACCAACCAAGGTGACGATTTTGACAAAATAAGTTTATTTCGCTTCGCTTCGTTTCTGCCGAAACCTCACATTTTTCTTTTTTTTTTTTTTTGGCTGAAAAAAAAACCCCCAAAAAACCCCCCAAACCAACCGAAAACGCAAAGAACCGCATCGCTTCGCCCTCTCCCAGAGGCGACCGAGGGGCTCTTTCGACCAGCTTGACCCCCCTGCTGCTGGCTCCCGCCTGGGCTGCGGGGCTGGGGGAGCCCCCCCAAAACCTCCCCCTCTGCAGCCCCCCATGCCTGGCCACGAATCGGCCCCCTGACACTGAGCCCTCTAGGAAACGCTCACAGCTCTTAACACCCAAAGTTTTTCTCGACCTTCTTAATTTCTGGGTTTTTTTCCTTCTTCTGTCTTGTTTTTTGTTTTTTTGTGTGTTTTGTTTTTTTTTAAATTAATTTATTTATAGATATATTTAAAAAAAGCAATAGTCCTTTGGTCCCTAAACTCTAAGGAATGATATGACTCTGAAACAAGTAATCCTATGTCCCTGTGCCAGTGACGAGCAGGGGGAAGCGCATGTCCCGCCACCCTGCTCCATGGGATATATATATATATATACTTATTTATATATATCTTCTATAAGTCCAACATCCTTTGATCCTTTTTTTTTCCCCCGAGGTGGGGAAAAAGAAAATCTTGCCATTTTTCTTTTCTTCCCAAACAAGCATCCTCCACGTGAAGCGCCCGAGGCTGGTCCCGTCCCACCGGCTTTGGTTTAAGAATCCATTTGGAGCCTCTCTTCCTCATTTCTCCTGGGAAACCAGTAGCAGCAAATGAGTGCTTTAAAAAAAAACAACAAAGGTAGATCGTATCCCAGGTGCCTGGGGCCGTGGTCCGTTCTCCCAGCGAGGGATTCAGTGAGTCCCGGTGAGCGGCCAGCGGCGAATCTCAGCCCTAGCGCCGCATCGCTCTCCTCCTTCCTTGTCTTCCTCGCTCTCTTGTTCCCGTTACGTAACAAACAAGACTGGGTTGGGAAAAATTTCAAAAAAGAAAAGAAAAGCTACGACAAGAATGGCTCTCTTCTTTGCCGTTTTCTCCATCACCTCCTTCTCTTCTTCCTCCTCCTCTTCTTCCTCCTCCTCTTCTTCCTCCTCCTCTTCTTCCTCCTCCTCTTCCTCCGGGATGCGTTGCAAAGAGAGAGAGTTACGGGTTTGGATACTGCACTTGGGGAAGGGGAAAGTCGTCAGACACCGCGGGACGCCCAACCTGCAAAACAGCAAAGGGGCCGTTAGCCTGTGTCCTGGGGGATGGAGGGAAGGACGGACGGAGAGAGGGGTGGAGGGAAGGACCCAAATCCCAGTCTGAAACACACCCACAGACAGTCCTGGGCACAGGGACCCCCGCACACACTCGAGGACATTTTTTGGGGAGAAAACACAGGAGCTGCGATGCTTTAGGTGAGCCAAGCCTCACCGCCAGGCCACCCAGGACATCACAGGGGGGTGCAGCAGGGCCAGGCCCCCCCGGCCCCCTCTTTCTTACCTCTCCACAGGGCCAGGGTGAGCAGGGATCAGTAGGGTCTGTTGGCATCTTTCGGCCGCTTTAGCTGGACTTTTAGCCTCTTCATGCCGATCTGGAAGCCGTTCATGGCCTGAATGGCTGCCTGAGCGCTCGTCGGATTGTCAAAACTGACAAAACCTGGGGACGAGATGACAAAGGAGTTTGTCACCATAAACATCACAGGTCGCCGCTTTACTTCAACCAAGGCGTGGAAATCCCACGGGATGCTCCTGCGGACAGCCTCAGGTGGAGCCCCAGGTTGGGGGGCTGGGAGAGGGGGATGGTGGGGTAACGGTGCAGCCCCGGATTGCAGGGCACTGGGTGATGGGCTGATGGCATCTTTGGGGACACCAAGGTCTGCGCGGACACTGGGGTAAGAGGGTCCACAGGGACACTGGAATGGTCTCTGGGGACACTAAGGTGATGGGATTTGTGGGGACGCTGGGGAGACAGTCTACCAAAGTGATGGGGACTGCAGGGACACCAAAGCGATGGGGTCTGTGGGCTCATGGGACAGCTGGGTGACAGGGTCTGCAAAGACACCAAGGTGATGGGGCCTCCAGAGACACTGGGTGACAGGGTCTATGGGGACACCAAGGTGACAGGATCTGTAGGGACATAAAGGTCTGCAGGTCTGTGGAGATACCAGGGTGACGGGGTCTGTGGGGACACCAGGGTGATGGGATTTGTGGGGCCACCAAGGTGACACAGGCTACAGGGACACTGTGGTGACAGGTCTGCAGGCCAGAGCATGCTGGTGGCAGCAGTGGCACTCAGCTGCATGAGCAGAACAGATGTGGAGGTGGCAAGTGGTGACCAGCCCTCCCTGGCGGGCAGGTGCACTGGGCTGAGGATTCGGGGGACAGAATAAGAGGGGACAACAGCAGGGTATGTCCTTCTGTCCTGGCATGGTGCAGGACAGAAAACTGCCCTTTGGCCCTGGGATGGACAGCTGCATTGCTCCAGCCACCATGCGGCTTCAGTCACCCATCGGTGCTGCCAGAGCTGGACCCCTGACCTGGGACATCAGGGAGAGCCGGACCCCCGAGTAGGGGACATTGGGGAGAGCCGGACCCCTGAGCTGGGGACCAGGGAGAGCCAGACCCTCAAGCTGGAACGTCGGGGAGAGATTGACCCCTGAGCTGGGACGTCAGGGAGAGCTGGACCTCCAAGCTGGGGACGTTGGCGAGAGCCAGAGGCCTGAGCTGGGGACACTGGGGAGAGCTGGACCCCTGAGCTGGGACGTCGAGGAGAGCTGAACTCCCGAGCTGGGACATGAGGGAGAGCCAGACCCCCGAGCTGGGACATCAGGGAGAGCCGGACCCCTGAGCTGGGACAGCAGGGAGAGCCGCACACCGGGACTTACCAAAGCATTTACTCTGGTTGGTGGCACGGTCCACAAAGACTTTGGCAGAGATGACATTGCCGAAAGGCAAGAACATCTGTGTGAGCTCCGCATCCCCGAACTCCTGGGGCAGGTGATAAATAAACAGGTTACAGCCTTCGGGACCTGGGTGACACACAAAGGACAGCCACACGTCAGCCGCGAGGTGGGGGTCACCCTGGGGGAGGAGCGAGGAGCCGCTGGCCCCGCGGTGGGGTGCCCCCCACAACCCCTCACCTTCTCGCTGCTGCTGCGGGATGATGGGCGCTTGCTGGGGAAAGGCTTGGCTGATGGGTGCGTAGGCGGTAGGATACGCTGCTGGAAGAGAGAAACGTGGAGCTGAGACCCCAGCACCCACCCTGCTCCCACCACAGCCCTGGGGAAGGGCTGGGGACAGGGATGTCCCCTGCTGCACCCTCAATGGAGGTGGCTCTTCTGCCCCAGGGATGCTGGCTCTGCCCTTCCCACCCCTGCCAGCATGGTCCCAGTCTCCTGGCATGCCCAGGATGCAGGAATGGCTCTCCCAGGTGGGATGCTGGTGGCAGCAGTAATACGACCTCAAGGTTGAGGAATGCCAGCACTTTTGGTTGAAAAAAAAAAACAATTGGGGGTCCAAAACTTCATTTTCTGATGAAAATCTGAACACCTCTGTTAGTGCTCCTAATTAAATGACTGCCGGGCTCAATGTATTTCCCCAGGATGCTTTGACTCCCTTCTCTCTGCGTCCCATCTCCCCAGCCATTGGATTCAGCCACGCGATGAACATCCAAGGATTTTTGATGCCTTGGTACCTCCACAGCCATCTCTACAAGCGGGTTGGGCATGTCGGCAGGATCCAGCATGGAGCCTGCTCTCCACCACCGCCCAAACCTCACTCCCTCTCCTGGGTACTGCCGCCAGTTCTCCCCCACGGAGTTATCTCAGCCCAGTGGGCATTAAAACTCACTTTCCTCCATCCAAAATATGCACGGAGGGCCGTGCTGGGAGTGCATCCATGTTGCTGGGGATGAGGGGACGGCACTCTGCATCAGTGTCACCCCCATCGCTGCTCCAGAGCTCCTGCCAGGGTACGGCACCCCATGCTCACCACATTAATCCGTGCCCACCACATTAATCCATGCCCAAGCATGCTGCCCCAGTTCTGTGGTTCAACCCCAAGGTGACGTTCACCCCACAAAAATAAGGGTGAGGAGCAAAGAGGGGAGAGAGGGAAGAAGTGCAAAGCAAAGTTTGAGACCTGCATAGTGCTGCATGCCTGCGTAGGCTTGCTGGAGGGGATCTGCCACCGTGGGGCTTTGAGCTGGGAAGAGAAAAGAAGGGAGAAGGAAGAGAGAATAAGCAAGAGAAACCCAGGGATGAGCAGCTCCTGTGGGAGAGGGCTCTTGGCCAAGCACCGCCACGGAGGGGCAGAGCTGCTCCCTGCCATGTCATAGGAGCCGAGAGCATCGCCATGCTCACAAAGGCGGCGATGCCACGGGAGGAGGAATTTTAGTGGGGATTGGTGCATGGTTGGTTCATCTGGCGTGTTCCCAGGGTGGGAAGCACCCCCAGGAGCCTGCCGCGTGAGCCGAGCACGCATCCCCAGCCCTGAGGGAACGTGGCGGAGCCCCCCCGGCAGGCTGTGAGGACGGTTACCTGGGTAGGGGTGGATGCCATTGGTGTAGATGGTCTCTGAGGCGGGCTGCCCGTTGGTCTGCGGCGGCAGTGGGCTGAAGCCATTCACCCCAATCGGCGTGGCAATGCTGGGCACGGGCGCCGTGCTGATGCCAGGGGGGGTGCTCGTACCTGCAGGAGGGAGGTGTCAGCGCCGGCCCCCCCCCCCCCGAGGTTGTCAAGCAGGTTGGGGGGTAAATGGAGGGGGGTTGTACCTGAAGAGGTTCAGGCAGGTCCCCTGCGCGGCCGCCATCAGGGCCGCCTGCTGCTGCATGATCTTAAGGAAAGAAAGGGGGAAAGGGGAAAGCGAGCGAGAGGCAGAGAGAAGGGGGGAGCAGGGGAGGATAAATTAGCATCCCCCCTTTACACCTGCACACGGGGGCTCAGAGGGATAAATGCCACCCGCTGCTGGACCCAGGGACAGGAGGAGGTCTAGGTGACGCTAAAAAACATGATATATGGGACCGCTGCGGCCTACAGCCATGCCACCCTCACCTGGAGGGATGAAGCCCTCTGTTGTGCCCCTAAATGATGATACACCAACCCTGACGGGCATCCGCACCCACTGGCGCTGGTACAATCCCACACAGGCTTTCACGGACAAAACCACGCCCCCTCCCTCCCCCCCCCGCACTGTGGGGCTCCCCAAAAATCCCCAGGTCCCGGCCAGCATCAGCTCCTACCGCTTGCGTATAGGCCCCGTAGGCGCCAAACTGGATGGTCATGGGGTTGAAGATGCCCAGCTGCCCCGCCATCTGATGCATTCGCCGCAGGGTCCTCTCCTTATCTGTGTCCGCAAACTTCACCACCAGGCTGGACGAGGCGCCCTGAGACGGGGGGAAGATGGGGCTGATGGCGGGACCCCGGCAATGCCCCTGAAATGTCTCCCTGCTCTGGAGAGGGACCCGCTGGCTCACAGCGGCTGCAGCATCCTCGGCCCCAGGGATGCTGCCCGGCTTGGAAGCAGCAGCCAGCAATCGATGCGAGGTTTAATTATAGCCAGCTTTTCTCCCCAGTGGCAGCTCCCTGACCTCTGCTTCCTTTTTCCCCTTCCTTGTTCACAGTTTTGAACTTCGACATTAATTAAACAGCCCCTTTCTCCAGCGCAGAGGGAATTAGCCCCGTGTGCCCACCCCTGGGCTCAGTGCCCAGGCAGGGATGAACCTTGGGGTGATCCAGCCAACAAATTGCCAGTCTATGGGATTTTGATCCAATTAGATAGAGGATCAAATGAGCTGATGATTGGATTACGCAGGCAGCATGGGGCCAAACAGGGCAGGGCAGAAGCCTGGCACTTACCGGCATGGTTTGGCTGCCGTGCAGGCTGTTGATGGCAGCCTGCGCCTCCGCGTGGCTGCCGGATTTTACAAAAGGACAAACCAAGGGCAGAGAGGGGACAAC